TAACACAGGAATTCATGGCCAACCCCTATCCCCCATGACAAAGTAAGGGATTCAGAAAAGAATTGATTTTCTTTTTCCCAAATACTTCATTTTTTTTCTAGAAATTGTTTTATGCAAAATTTATATTCAGAACATAGAAAAAGACTAGTTGTAATTCAGTAGGTGGCAGAGCTGTCACTAGAGTTCTTAATTAAACCAGAGAGCTTACTGGATTTTCGAAGGATCAACAGCAATATTGGCTATGGAAGCGGCATCGGATTCTTCATCGGTTGCGTTTTTGGGATTGACAAGGAAGAATTGGCTGACGGATGACAGCTTGGGCGAGCATCCTGACTGGAAGGATTGACGGCAATATTGGCTATGGAAGTGGCAACGGATTAGGCCTTGGTTACGTCTTCGGGATCGACAGCTATTTCTATTCACATCACGAATAAGAAAAAGAAAAACTCACCTGGTCCAAAGAAACAGACTGCCAATCCTATTTAAAACATTTGGAGGGTTCAATTCAATTGATTTGAGGTTGGAGCATTCAATTCAATTGATTTGAGGTTGAAAGGTTCATTTTAATCGATTCGAGGTCGAAGGAATTCGGAAGATGGGAAGGAGGAGCGAGGAAACTGGGGAGTGGTTGTCAGCATTGATTGCCTGAATACCTATCTCCAGGGCCCAGGGCACTAAAACTCCGGGATTGGAACAGAGCACACGGCTTGGAGCGCGGGCGCACTTGACACACAGGTTCTGGGACCGGTATAGGGGACCCAAATTCCCCAAATCAAACTCGAGCGCAACTTGGACTCAATTAAATAAGCTGCTGCGCAGTCTACAACAACTTGACGTCTTCTGCTGCGGACTGCGGACTACGCCTCTTTTGGGTTAAAAAAAAAAACAAAACATTAAATATCAAAAATCAAAATCAAGGAAACCCCCTTATGAAGAGAGACAAAGTGATTAATTCTTTGGAAAAAAATCATGAATGCCCACAACAGACAAAAAGTCTGAATATACACAAGGCAGCACAACTCCTCATTAAAACACATTCAGCCATTTCTTTGGTGGAATTGTCTGGGGACAGACAATAAGTTGGGGGAGGATGTAGTAGCTGAATGTGTAAAAATTCAAAATTTTCTATTATTTCTTTTTTTTATTCTTTTCTTTATCATTTTTTCCTTATATTTCTACTCATCTACCACATATTACAACTCAAGAACTGCATTTTACAGATCAGTTCACCCATGGTCACCACTGGAGGTATCTCTGTAACTCTACTGGTATGAATGTTACACACCTCTGGATATGTACAACACTCAATTACACTCAATCAACCACACAGGACAACTACACAACACAAATTACACAAATACTTCACTACAGGACACCGGTAACCATATGACATCATAATCTTCTGACAGGTGCACAGCTTACACTGTCTGTCAGGTCAGGTGTACAGCATATGCAGCTTGTCAGGTCAAGTGATAATCTTCCTGCAGGTGAGCTCATGCAGTCTGTATGACATCATGCAGATTGCTAGGTTAGCACAAACCCCTCATGTACACTGCCTCTTCTAGCTAAAATAACTCAAATTACATCATGTAGGCTGTACAACTAGCCAAAATACCTCATTGTAAAGCTGTGACCAGCTAAAATCTCTCATTCTCCTGCTCCCTTGGAGCCAAAATCACTCATTGTTGTCTATTTAAGGAGGCTCTCCTCCCAGTTGTTTTTCTCCTCAGTTTAGTATTCACACATCACATACCCCCTACCATTACATACCATACCATTACCATTACATACTGTAACAACCCTTATAACACCCAATAACAACCCTGACACTTGTAATACACACTAAACTCACTCTCATACTCTCAGAAACTCAATTCTTACACCATTAAACTGTGATCAAACCAAAAAATCTCAAACCAACCACCCCTATCACTTGATTAAAACTTGCCAAGCTAAGCTTGGTGGGTCTTGTTATCTGATAGTATAGAAGGGCAGAGTTTGCAACTCCACCATACCCTTCTCCATTCAGCAAAAGGGTTCTCACAACCACTTTTGAGTCTTACAACGGTATTCTCATCTTCTGCATAATTAGAGATTTTTGTCTAACCAGATCATCATTCCATACAACACTATCCTAGAAGACACCCACTTTGTCCTTGGGATTGTGTGTGTGCTTTATCAAAGAAAGATTCATAGCTTCCTCTCTCCAAGAAGGATTGACTGAGTCCAGCTGCCAATCCTAGGTAGGACCTGTTTGATGCCAGGCAACAAATCAGCAAAGAAAAGTATCCACTTACAAGTCATCAGCAAATTTGGAAAATCCCCATCATCAAGAGCTCTTTTAAAGCAAAGCAGCTTGCTTTCAATCAAATAAGTTCCATTGTCACTGATTCCCCATCAATCATTTTCAAGCTTTCGGTGAGTTATTATGTGATACATTTGATTTTCATTTTACTAATTTGAGCCTTGCCATCTAGAGAATCATGAATGAAGAACATCCTCACATTCTTTGAGTTCACTGCACTTTGCATGTGTGTTCAATCTGATTGCCAAGCAGCTTGTCAGCCATCCAAGCATGGAAACAATTTTCAAGGCCAACAAGACACTTGTTAATCAATTTGTGACAGCTAGATTCTGGAGAAAACATTTTTCTACTTGGCAAAAGGAGAACAAATTAAACTTAGTCTCCAAACACCCTGTGAAACTTGTTGGTACTAAATGATCAAGGTCTTCATGGGTGTCTAGTACCATGAGATTGGATTTTGAAAGTGCCTTGAACTTCTCCGGGATCCTCTGGTTAAGACTCCTTCTATACCTCAAGCAGTTATCAGACTCATTGATGATTGAGATCATTATGTAAACAACATTGGAAATGTGATCAGAGTGATTGTTGGTCAACATCTGCCTGGTAATCACGGTGACTGCAGGCTGACATCACCAACAAAACTTGATTATATTGTGAAAGAATGCTAGGTAAGAAACATAAGATAGATAGTGGTTTCACTATGTAATATATAAATATGCAATTCCACAAAAAAAATTACAATTGTTCTTTTAGGAAAAATCATCAAAGTATACCCCACAACATTCAAAAAATCCATGGGGTGTTTGCAGAAACATTTGTAGGATTAAAGCTCTTCCAAAAAGCCAACTGAAATCATCCTCAACCACCAAAGATGGTTGTGAGTAAAGCAGCTTGTTTCCAGAGAGTAAGAAGGGCTGCCAAATCTGTTTGACAAGTCCAGAAAGGCTTGTCCTCTTTCAATCATTGGGAAAGTTTACAAAAAATTGACCAAATGCAGTTGACTTATGTGCTTGGTCTCCTGGACCAGAAGCACAAAAGGAAAGGAAAAAGATTTTTTTTTTCTTTTTTTTTCAACATGTATATCACACAACTATAAGCATCCTAATATGTAAGTCCATAATATCTCCCAGAAGTCCATACTATGACCTCCCTGGGTGGCAGTTCCAAGTCTAAGAAAACAAAAATCAAACTTTAACTATTGCACCTACAGACTTGTGGTTATAGATTTGGATGCTACTACTTTGTAGAGCCCAATAATGTATAATATGGGTATGTGGCCCTATTTGAGCCAACTAACATACAGGTCAAAGTTTAAAAATAAATTTTAAGGTGTGGTGTTACACAAAGAAGGGTGAGGGCACTGTATAATGTAGCTTTGATTAAGTGTATGTATGTACATACATGAAAGAATCAAAGGAAAAAGTAATGGCAAGTCACTAAATCCACCTGTGACCAAATCAGCTGCAGATACACTAGATGTTGAGGTGGACCAGGCTAGAGGGAACTGAAAGTCACAGACGCTAGGTCTTGTGACAGTGACTGGACACAAAGATAAAGTTGGTTTAAATTCAGTGAGTCGGGAATCTTGGATGAGAGACAGTCACAACTATGTACATGCTATGGTTTGGATAGAAGCATACAGCCTGGCTATAAGCATATTCAACACTGGAGAGCACCGAGGTATCCCCTTTGCACTGGTCCTAATCTTTATGCCCCAGTTGAGCCAAAACCATCACTAACAGCCCTTCCAATCAAGCCACAGGTGAGTAACCATTTCATCTCCTACAAACCAATTTTCCACTGCTGCAAACAAACCCACTGGATAGCCATCTGGCTCATTTGTTAATTTTATAGTTTTTTTCTTTTATTACATATTACATAGTTTTTTCACACCTTTTTTCTCTTGAATCCACTCACAAATCACCCACTTGCAGACTAGTACATTAACTCATGTAAAATGCTTCACCAGCATAAAACCCTCATGTAAACCTTCTAGACCGGCTAAAACAACTCTTATGACATCATGTAGGTTGCACAACCAGCTAAAATACCTCATGTACATGTTCTGACTAGCTAAATCCCCTCATTGTAAAGCTCTGACCAGCTAAATTCTCTCATTCTCTTGTTCCCCTGAAGTTAAAATTGCTCACCTTTGTGTATTTTCCACCATCAGAAACCAGTCACTTTTTCAAAAACTTTTTTTTGCATCAATGGGCCCCAAAAGGGGTTCAATGGATAATCAACATGTTTAAAAAAGTGTGCATTTTTTCAAACCAGTCAATTAAATAATGGTGGATTTGGTTATATTTGATACCCCCTACCCTTACAAACCCTTACAAACCATCCCTTTAGCTTTGAAATATCAGCTAGACTCACTCACTCTCTCACACTCAAATCAACCTTTAGACTCTTATACATAAAATCGGTTAAACCTTTTGTCCACCTGTCAAGTCACAGCTATCTCTTGACACGCGCAGATACCTTGTCTAACAAGCGGCCCACAAATGCATCATTACTGTGGGTCAGAGCATCAGCTCTATCTTCATGTTCAATTCTATCTTCTTTGTCTTGATGCTCTTTTGGGCATGGAAATCACAAAGAGAGCGCACTTCCAACACATGAATTTAGACAAAAGATTATTTTAATGAGAAACTTGTTAAATCTACAAACTGACCAACAATCAAGTTAGTTTTATTCAAGACTGGTGCAACTGGAGGTTCAGCTTGATCTTGAGGCAAAACTTGGGGATTACCATGTCGCTCTTCTCAGATGTTGACAACTTTGCTTGCCAGGTAGAGAACTTGATCACATGGGAATTTTCTTCACAGCCAGGATTGCAATTACTCATATTTGCAATCAATATGGGTTTCCCCTCTCCAGTTAAAAAGCTTTGAAAGAGTTCAGTCAACTTTGACTGTGTGAAAGGAATGATTGCTATAAAGTTCAGTCAACTTTGACTGTGTGAAAGGAATGATTGCTATTTTACAAGTCTTCTCTTTTTGCTCCTGGTTCTTCCTTAGAGTTCTCATGCATTGTTTCAAGACCATGAGTGACTTGTTGATTTTCCCAGCTTCTTTCAATTGCTGTCCGGTTGTTTGACTGTTCCTTGTCTGTTCTGAGCCTGCCAAATCAACAATTGAGAGTTGTGAGACGGTCACAGTGGATAATATGCTTTCAGAAAGTTGTATGTTTTTTGGCAACTGGATCAGTTTGATGGTGAAAACCCCATGGCTTTGAGAGCTGCTTCAGTTAGCATAAGTGGTAAAGACTGTTTGATTGAGCTGTCCTTGACACAGTAGGATTTTGGCTTCTTTGGCAGACTTGACCCTAACCTGTGTCAGACCATGAATGCATTTTTTGCCGTTGGTTTTGTCTTTTATGAGTGCAAGTGGTTTAAGTGCAATACATACAAATTGGTTGCTCTGGTGTGTAATACATGGGATAGAAGCTTGACTTGGTTGGCAAAGTTGGTTGTGAATGGTTGAAAGGTGGCTCCGGAACTGGAAGAGGACTCTGTACAAAGCAAGTCATAAATCTTTTCATTATATACTTCAGAATACAAAATCCAAATTCCATACTCAGTACTAGGGCTGATGGGCAAAACTGTTTCATCTTTGAGCCAAATTGGAGATGGTCATGGAGACAAGGGGTCAAAGAAACTGCCTAGTCTTTCCGGTTGCTGAATCAATGATATGATCTCAATACCTGTCAGTCTGACTGGGTTGATTGGTAAATTGGTTAAGTGGTCAACAATTGAATGGAACAGAGTATATATTATCCGAGGTGATAACCTAGGTCCATCAATCCACCGCCTTGAACAGTGTAAGTTTTCCCAGAGGCAGTCACACCGTATGCAAAGCATAGACTACTTTGACCATCCAAAAAATCACGTACTATTGGTGTGGAACTACTCTTGGGATGTATAGAGCTGGAGAGGGAATATGCTTTAATGGGCTGCCTCTCTGGAAACTGGGTTGAGTAAGGTAACAAGAAAAAGATAAGAGTATGGACTCTGTCGAGTCCTTCACTGTCTGTTGGAAAGGTGCCAGAAAACAACGGTGGGCTGCTACACTAACCGTAGTGGTTAGTGTAGCGTAACACAGCGGAATCGCTGTTAGCAATTAGCGTAGCGTAGCGGAATTCTGCCACGACACCGCTAACGCTACACGTGTGGGCCGCAAAAAAAGGCCCATTACGCTGCGCTACAGTGGTTTTTAGCGGTTTTTGGCCGCTTTTTCCGCTAAAAGCGCTGTAGCGTAGCAAAAAACCGCTAACACTACGATTTTTGGATGAAAAAAAGTGCCGCTACGCTACGCTTTTTGGGCCAAAAGCGTAGCGCCCCACCGCTGCAGAAAAGGAGCTCAATAGCTCCCTCGGAGAGGATTCTAGTACCAAGGTAGGATAAATTGCAGTCTAGACCGGACAGAAGAATCTCTGCTGTCTAGGTAAAGGAGAAGGGTGAGACTAAATACAAGGTGAAAACAGGCTTACATAATCTTGTGACAGGTTTGTGTAAGCCTGTGAGGAGCAGGGCTTACAGGTGTGGCTTTGGAGAATTCTTGAGATGGGTATGTCTTCTGTCTTCTGGTCATCTGTCTGAATAATACTAGAATCCCAAATGTTGATGGGCAACTACTAGGCTAATGAAGGGTGATCAGTTATCTGGATTTCTGGGGCAGGATCTGATGAGGAACAAATGAAGAGGGGAAAACAAGGCTACTTATATACAAAATCTGGGGAGTGGCCAGCTTGTGGTTGGAAACACCATGGAACAAAATGGAACAAGAGAAAATTATCAAACTGAAACAATGTGGCCCAATTGGTAGGCACTAAGATAAATGGGGAAAATTTTCAGCTTGCTACTATAACAGAGACAACCTGTCATAGTACACAAACAATGTAGAAAATACAAAAAGATATAATTATAAATAGTTCTGGAAGTAAATGAGAAGATAAAATAATAATGGCATTATTTCTCAATATTCTTAATCTATATGAAGAATAACCTAGGGTACCTCACTCAAAGGTAAATCTAAATTAAAGATATAGAGTGTACCTCCCAGAAGGAAATGAAATATGCTTATGTTTATAATTAAATATGCTGATAAACAGGTTTAAGACCTGAAACTGATTTGTTGTTTCAAACATAAAATTGTATATTGATAAAACACATGTGGCACATTTCCAAGGAAATAGCCACATGTTTCAGCTTTAATCTTCTACAGAACACCTGTGGCAAATTTCCAAGGAGAAGGTCACATGTTTCAGCCTCCATGGATGAACTGCCCACAAGTGGACCCTGATCTCCCAGATGCCTCCACAGGTATATAAAGAGCCCTCTGTCCCCCCAAATAAGGTATCCTCAGATTATTACAACCCACTTTTAGATTACCCACCGTCCCAAATGCTTAACATTTGTATCTGTCTGGTAATGTATTGTCTCTTGCTTTAATTCTCTGTCTATCAGAACCTCAAGACTTAAGGGGCATTATTAGTACATAATTATGCTCCCTTCTTTCTTGAGATTCTTACTACTTTCTTCTGGGATTTAAACCACCCCTGTTAAACAGGCCCCAGTGTTATCAGGTACCTAAATCCTCTGCTTTTGCACGATACCTTAGAGGGAACTAAACCACCCCTGATTTATCAGGCCCCTCTGTTTAAATTATATCAATATTTATTGATATAATTATTCATTTCTACTATCTCATAACCTTGTAATTACACACCGGACTCTTTAGTCTCAGAGTTCAAACTCTAACATCTTGAGTCTTTGCACCACATGTACCTAGAAGGGATACTCCTTGGCATCACGGCGGATGACAAAAATGACATCAGAGACATACAGGGATGAAATGTACCACAGCCAATGAGGGAGGAAGAATATAACAAAGAGATGAATGAACTAGCCAAATGTTTACTAGTGTGAGACATGCAAATAACCCAAGAGGAATAGTGTAAAACAGTGAAATGTGGCCCAAAGTGGAAATGAGGCTAGAGTGAAAATTGAATAGAGTGAAACACATGCAGTGGCCAAGTGTGGAAGGCTGAAGGGGGACTGATGATGTAGGACTGCATGAGATGTTTATGTGATAATGAAATGAAATGGGCATTCAAAGTGTCTCTTCTGTCCAGGGGTTTGGTCTTGTGACATCCATGGTGAATTTCAGGCTGGCTGAATATTCCAGAAGGGGCGTGTCTTGGTCCTTGAGGGTCTTGTCATTCAGAGGGCTTGATATTGTGATTGATGCTTTGATTTTGTGGGCCTCTTATTCAAGATTGGCTTACCACAGTGGTAAGCCAGCTCCCTGAAAAACATTGTGCTGTGTTGATTCCTGTCCAAAAACTTGTGTAAACTTGTATTTGGCAATACTGGAAGCCGAGGTTTGGGAAGGTGGTGCCAACAAAACTTCTGTGTTGTGATGTAAGGTGTTGCGTGGGTGGAAAATGGACTAGGTGTTCTAATTTGAAGGTAAGCCTGTTAAATGAGCATGTCAATCAAGGGGGAGAGATGTGATGAATGTGGTGTTTTGAGTCAATTGGCAAAACACATTTACAATGTACAGTGGGTAGACAGTAAAAAGTGGCTGCTTATTTTGGATTCCACAGCTCCAAAACACAGACTTGAAGTCATGAGACTTGATCAGGTGGCCGTGCATAATAGGTTGCAAAAAATGAATATGAAAAAATAAAAACAACAAATAAAGTTTCAAAATTTGTGAAAAATAAAAAATAAAATTGATTTTTTTCAAAAGCTTTCATATTCATTTTGGGGGAGTAAGAGTGCTGAGAGAAAGGAAGATTGTATGGAGGTACTGAACCGTCACTTTTGCCAAAAAAATTAAAAATTAAAAAAAAAAAATGAATTCATCAGCCCAATTTCGCCATACAGTCCTCCAATTGATGACCATTTATGACACTGGTCATCAATGGGAGGACACACTCCCATCAAGGACCGGTCAAAACCGGTCCTTGATGGGAGTCAACCCCCCAAACACCCCCATTGATGACCGGTTTTGACCGTTCATCAATGGGATTAAACACCCCCATCAATGACCGGTCAAAACCGGTCATCAATGGGAGTCAACCCCCCCAAACACCCCTGGATGACTGGTTATGACCGGTCATCGATGGGTTTAAACACCCCCAGAAATGACCGGTCATCGATGGGAGTAACCCCCCCCCTCCAAACACCCCTATTGATGACCTTTGACCGGTCATCGATGGGAGAAACACCCCCATCAAGGACCCGTTTTAACCGGTCCTTGATGGAGGCAAACACCCCCATCAATGACCGGTTTTGACCGGTCATCGATGGGAGAAACACCCCCATCAAGGACCAGTTTTAACCGGTCCTTGATGGAGGCAAACACCCCATTGATGACCGGTTTTGACCGGTCATTGATGGGAGAAACACCCCATCAAGGACCGGTTTTGACTGGTCATCAATGGAGGAAACACTCCATCAAGGACCGGTTTAGCCGGTCCTTGATGGAGGTATCAGCAAACATCTATGACCATCCCGAGCAGCTGAAGCTCCAAGGTGGTGCAATACACCGATGACCGCTCAAAACCGGTCATCAAAGGGGGGGGGTTGACTCCCATCGATGACCGGTTTGACCGGTCATCGA